TCCCTTTGCGAGGCAAAACTTTCAAAGGTATTCATTCCTCCCCTTGCCCTGACTTCACATTATTCATTTCTCTTGAAGCTTGAGTTGACAGCTATAAGAATGGAGAGGAAAATAGCAGTTATTAGATCTCATTGAATCTGCCAGTTATACCAAGATATGAAGCAGCCAGCATTCAGCTGGTTGGTAACATTATTTATTTTTTACTTAGGAAAAGCTAAGAATGTATAGTCCTACAAAGGAATGTCTTTGTCCCTCATCAAGTGTGCTTATTCATATAAAATACACTTGGCTGACCTTTTTGGTTTGTTTGGTTGTTCTGATTTTTGGGGTTTTTTTTCCCAATTAAATAATAGCTTTCTGATCAAGCTCAGAATTTTTGTGAAATATGGAGTTAAGCTCGTACTGAAATAATTCTTAGTCTTTGAAGATACCTCCTACAAAAACATTTAGGGAATTTCAATTGTGTTTAGAGAAGAGGAAGTTTAAACTCTGATTTAATTTTTTCCAAAAAATTTGTTTGAAAGTTGATTCTAGGCCAGCAACAAATTTCTGCCACTTGCATCTCTATGTCAGCTGTGTAAATTATAAATGGGGTACTTTCAAAATAAGTTGAGTCGTAGTTATTCTACCATTGCAGTAATATCCATCAAATGTGTCAGTAGCCTATTGCTACCTACAAAGGTCCAGGAAACAACTATTTATATGGTGCTTCCCAGTAGTTAAACATACATCTCTTGTATTATCACAACGTTGGTTAGCAATTAGAGGTGAGAGCTTCTGTTCCAGTTTTTTTTTTCTAATATATTTGTGTTTTCCCAAGCAGAAAGCTGAATTCTTTAAGAAATAGAATTAGATATTGACTGATCAGTTGCAGTTTTAAGAATTACTTCACATATAAATATATATATATAATTTGCAAAAAACTCTCAACAATGTTCTATGAAACAAGTATTATGATACATTTAATCTCTTAAGATCATTTTAAAGACATGAGCCTTAATGTTTGTTATAAAATACCTATTTAATGGTAGTGGTGCATTTTGTTTTCAGTATCGCATATTTTCAACTCTTATTTTGATGCAAAATTTTAATCTGTACTTTCTACACCATTTTAGGTATTTATTTTGGACAGAGTGGGGACAAACTCCTTGCATAGGCAAGGCACATTTAGACGGCTCTGAGAAGGTCGTGCTTGTGAGCCTGGGAATTGCGTGGCCTAATGGAATTTCCATTGACTACGAGGTCAGTTCCTCTGTCTTCCAGTATGTATTAAAATGTGCAGTATTTGCTGTGTTTCATTAAAGCCAGCTAGTCTTCCACTTTGATGTAATCTTAATAACTCTTAATTAAATACTTGGACAAGGCTGTTGATGTTTCCTTTAAAATTAATCTTTAGGAAAATAAATTATATTGGTGTGATGCTCGTACCGACAAGATAGAAAGAATTGACCTTGAGAGTGGAGGGAATCGGGAGATTGTGCTGTCAGGGAGCAATGTGGATATGTTTTCAGTCGCGGTGTTTGGCGCTTACATCTACTGGTCTGACAGGTAATTTATTTTTCATAAGTATTTGAGTCTCAAAATGTTACTTCAGTGCCAGGCGCTTCACCTTTGCAGGATTAGCCATTCCTTAGCGAGGTCACAGGATAGATCACAGAAAGCTATGCAATTTGCAAGGAAAGGGCATTTCTGATACTGAAAGCTAAAGCATATCAGTGTCGTAGATGAGAAGAGGTTCCTTCACCTTCTGTTAGACAAACTCTCCACTGCCCTTCAATCATTTGTTTGGTGTGAATTAGTTGAGGATTGTTGATGAGACATCTTCAACTTTTTTGGCAGAGCACATGCAAATGGCTCTATTAGAAGAGGCCACAAGAATGAGGCCACGGATGCTGTGACCATGAGGACTGGCCTTGGAATAAACCTGAAGGAAGTGAAAGTCTTTAATAGAGCACGAGAGAAAGGTTGGCTGTTCTTAAGGATGCTATTAATTGTTTTAATATCTCCTACTTTTTATGTATATGAAAGCATACCAGAAGTTAAATAATCACTGATTTTATCTCCGCTTTTTACTTCTGAACCTAAATTAATACACTAAAGAAAACATATAGTATAAATTCTACTAAAATTCTTCTGAATGTTTTAAGGAGAAAATCAAAAACTAAAACACTTCCTATCATTCCAGGTTTGGTGGTTTTTGTTTGTTTTTATTTAGAAGAAAAAAGAAAAGAAAAAGAAAAAAAAACATTCTTAGAGGAACCTTGAACTGTGCTTTAAAGAGCAGTCATCTCAGGCAGTCTGATTTCTGTTAGAAAGCAAACCAGATTTTTTGTTTCACACCTATTAATTCCTAGCCTCTGTGTCTCAAATTTATTTCCTGAAATTATTTGGCTTTGAGTCCTATTTTTTTTGTTTGGGAAGAGACCTTGTAAAATAATCCAATGCCTCTTATATTCAGTTTGTTTTCTGAATTTGAGACATTGTTATCATATAGTCTCAGTGATTTATAGTATCAATGGTTTAATTTTATTCTCCACTACATGACTAAGAATAATCTTGCTTCTAGCAATCATTTTCATCCTCAATTTTTGATTTTGAAGAGACTTCAAAAAAACTTGAGTCAGTGAGCAAAGGTGGTTAGAATTCTTTCAAGAATTATGATGATTTCCTCAGAAGAAATTGCTACCAGTCAATCCAGACAAATTTTTCTATAAATGTATTCAAAAAGAGTAAAAAAGAAAATGCTAGTATAGTACAAGATGAACTTTTTAATGCAAGCGTATCTCTGGAGTTGGTAGCGTTCAAAAGTTGCTTTAATCACAGCATTCCTTACCCAAAGACCTTGTTTCTTTTATATACATCTTTCCTAAATAACCACATTAAATATGACTGTTAAAAGAAATTTGCATATTGGAGGAAAATATCTTTAACAATCAACAGGAAAAACTGTCTTTTTTTTTTTTTTATTTTCCTAAAGGAAATTTTAAATAGTTCTGGAAAAAAGAACTTAAGAACCATATGCATATTAATTTTACTAAGAATTTCTGTATGTTATATCCGAGTACTGTGGGCATCATATTTTGTGGATAAAAATAAAATCCATACACAAATTTATCACTTATTTTAAGTAGGCTAGAAATAGTTAATGTCTGCTTGCTTGGAAGGGCTTTATATTATAGAATTAGGAAAATAGAACTTTGGAATTTAAAAAAAATATGCTTCTTTAAATGTAATGATTTTATTGATAGTTTTAAAGATCACATTAGAAATAGAAGAAATGGTTACTGAGGCTAAAAATCTTTTGATGTTAGTTTGAAAAACATAACTGAATGATTTTTTAATACGCTTTTCAAATTTCACTAGGGTACAAATGGTTAATGTCTTTGGGAGGGGCTGTCAGTGAGCCAGGAGGACAAAAGGGAAAAAACAGGTGAAAAATGTTTTTGGAATGTTTTTTCTATATCACACTATTATATATATTTTTTAAGTTCATTGAACTAGAAGTAGTTAACACTGTTTAAAAAAGCAACTGTAATTAGCCAGCTTCCTGACCTTCTATTATCAAAACAAACAAAAGCCCAAAATAAAAAAAACCCAACCTGTGCTGATTGTGATTAATGCTTTTTTTTCAAACACCTGTTTTACCCTTTCTGATGAGCCAGTCCTGCAGTGCTATTCGCAAGCAGATTTCTATCTTTCAGTGCTATTTTACATGTGTGCAAGGATACGCCCCAACTACAGTGGTATCAGAACTGGCCATTTTTATAGATATTTATGGCTGGTGAACTATGGAAGCATTGAAGTTTTCAAGGAGAAATTTTAGAAGCTTGAGAATCTCTTTCATGTATTTTCCTTTCTCTTCTCAACCTCTCATCCTTCCAAACAGATATTAACTTTTCTAGCCTAATAAAATTTTAAAAGAATCTTTAAAACAATCCAAATGTAAAAAAGTATACAGCTAAATCTCCAAATGTTTTACATAACTATAGAGAAATAGGTCTCATATAATTTTGCCGAGGACCACAAAATCAATGTTTCTAATTTTAAGAGCAAGTTAACTCTCATCCCCAATTATTTTTTCTTATAAGTATCTTCAACTTGAAATGTAGCAGTTAGAAAATACAGTCAACAGTACTTTCAGACACTACATCTTCCCCTACAATTATTATGGTATTCTACCTGAAAACAGTCTATTTAAAATGTTTGCTTCTCCTTCACTATGTTGAGAACTTTCAGAAATGGAAAAAGGACTATATTGAAAGAGCTGAGTTGTTGCATGGAAAGTGCTGTCAGAAAGAAACACTAAATTGTATAAACTAACTATAATAGTACTTCATACATAGTCCAAAAAGGAAGGAAAATAGCTCCTGATTATTGACAATTATTGTAATTTTAAATATTGCTTACAAAAAGTGCAGTCATTGATGTTACTAAGTTGACAATGATTTAATGGTATGCATTTGCCAGAGAGTAAGTTTCTAAATTCAGATTTTAGAGGCAATTAGAGCAAAATGTTAGGAAATGTCTTTATTAAAATGGAACTAGATTGACACAGCTTTGTACTTACCAATATATGTTTTCCTTTTGATAGAAATTGTCTAAAAACTGTATTCTGATGGGATCTAAATTTGACTTTCTGCCAGTAACAGGTGTTTTAAAAAAAATAAATCTTTGAAAGCACTCGAAACAGTCTCTAAGTCTTCAGCTGATTATGGATGAATAACCCTTTTTATCATTCTCTATCAATAAAATATATACTCTTCTGAATTGGAAAGGACATTAATTATATTTGCTAATTAATTGTATGTTTTAAAATTGTCTAGATGTGATTAAAGTTACATTCTTTGCTATTTTGGCCTTTCTTTTACCTGTGAATATTGTAGTACCGGTTTTAAGAGAAAAATTTTTAGAATGCATAAAACTTAATTTTTATTTAAGTTAGCTAAGTGTAATATTAGAAAAGATAGAATCTTTCTTTATTGTTATTTTATTACAGGTACTAATGTTTGTGCCAAGAATAACGGTGGATGTCATCAACTTTGCCTTTATCGGGGAAATGCGCGGAGAACGTGTGCTTGTGCACATGGCTATCTTGCAGAAGATGGAATCACTTGCCTGAGACATGAAGGTTACTTGTTATACTCAGGAAGGACAATATTAAAAAGTATACATCTTTCAGATGAAACCAACTTAAATTCACCAGTAAGACCATATGAAAATCCAGAGTACTTCAAAAATGTGATAGCTCTGGCTTTTGACTACAGTCTGAAAGGAAGAGGTACAAATCGCATATTCTTCAGCGATGCACACTTTGGAAATATACAAGTTATTAAAGACAACTGGGCTGGCAGAAAAGTGCTGATTGAAAGTAAGTGAAAATATTATTTCCCAAAATACATATTTTATTTCAGTATATTTTATTAAGTGTAATGTTGATAATCATTTGACTTTATAGAGTAAAAAATGTCAATAAACTTTTGCCGTGCTTAAGTATATAACACAATTATTGTGGTTTATAGGATACGTTTAAACATTAACTATTATCTTTAGAATTACAACTTCAAAATCATTTATTTTATTACAATCTTAAGATGTGTGAAGTGTTTTACTAGAAAATAGAAGTGATAATGATGGTGCTTACTTTGTATTGCTGTGATTTTAAGGAGCTTTACTGTTGAAACAAAACCTTATCGTGTGCAATGCCTGGAAAGGAAAGCAAAGTCCCCTTACCCCACCTATTAATTAACTGTTTATTTTTCTAGTTAGTTGGGGTCAAATACTGTAGGATACCTCTGCTAATATAATCACTCCCTGGTATGAAATATTAGGACTCTGGTCAGTGTGTCCAGTTGACTCATCCTTGTAGTGAGCTCAAGAAAAGTGACTTGTGCTCAGTGATAATAGGAGACAAATTCCAACCTGCAAAACTGTCCGGTTTGAGTAGCAGCTTACTCATAGCTTTACAAGTTTGCTATGCTTTCATTTGCCGTGCTGGTAGGAGGAGCTGTATGAAACTGAACATTTTTTTTAGTCTCTGAATAGTTAAACCCTGACACTGCTATCAAGGAATTGATGCCAGTATAACCACCAGAATCTTCAGGACAAGACACAAAACATATTCTGCAGCTGAGGCCTCAGTAAAACCTTTTTGGGAATCTGACACGGAAATCTTTATCAACAAAGTCTAGCATAACTTTAATACAAGATGTATGTAAGAAGTTGTTGTGGTTTGTCATGGTAAAAATAGAATTCAAGGGAAATCTGGATGTGGATTTGTAAGAAATACATCCATAATGCTATACATCAAAAAATCTGTGCTACAAAGATCTAAATTCTAAAAACTGGTTTTCAATTCTGTTCCAATTTAATTTTTCTCAAATATGCAATAAGCCATATTAATCTGTAGTCAGTTATCAGGTGCATGTATTTACAGTTTTGTTTTCTTCCCTGTCATTTTTGAGTACTACCTGGTTTTTTTGGAGACCACAGTTCATTTTGGTAACCGTTTTCCAAATTGTCTGAAGTGTTGTATAGATTTTGCTTCTTATGTTGTGTGTAATTCTTACCTGAATTTCTGATGTCATATGTTATGTTGGCTATGACATTGCTACATTTACCTTTTGGTTTGGGTCAAACAATTTAATAACAAGACCAAAGGAAGTGATTAGGAAAAAATGGAAATATATTTGATGTCGAATGTATTACGCTTTGCTTTTGAATATTAATAGAAATGTTTTTATAAAAGAAAGAAATTAAACAGCTGCAAACTGACAAATATTGTTCTACAAGTGACATTGAATAATTGTGTCATTTTGTACCTGTGCACTGTAGTTCTGGGAAGGTATTCATGGTCATGAAACCTGTTGACACTAATGAATGGAAAAGCATTTTGCAAATATGCTACAAGGCCTTTTCTTACTTTGAGTTTTTGTGTTGATATTTTAGAGGAGTTAATGATATCTGTATTAGGATATGGTAAAGAGAAACTAAGGAATGTTGTCAGGATGTTCTCATTACTCCCACGAAAGCATTAAAACCTAGGGATTCAGAGTTGAGATGAGCCATATGAGAGACACAGATTTCCCACAGAAATGTGCAGTGGTGACATAAAAACACTATTTTAACTCTGGTGGTATAGGAGAGGATTAAAGGTATTATTTGAAAAACCACTGGAAATTTTTACATTTAAAACAAAGAGGAAAAAGAAATACTGGCGAAGCACCAATGCAGATACAAATTGGTTTTTTAAAGAACAATAAAGTATTCCTCATTACTTTATAATAGGTTGTTGTACAAGAGCTAAAGACATTCCATAAAGCGTGGCTGAGAATTATAGTTTTAAGAAATTGTTAGGAAGTGTTTCTACTTGTAATCTTAATATGCCTGATTTCATTTTTCATTAACAGAGTCAGCACTCTGAAAAATTGAATGTCAGATGAAATCTTGTATCCTTGCAAAAAATTTACTGTATATGGCTTGGATGTATTTGTGAACTTTAGTGTTTGTTTTCAACCAATGCTTCGGTTGTTTTTTTATCATAAATGAGAAGGGATATCACATCCCAGTATATGTTAATTTGTTGTTCTCCTTCATGTGTTTTAAAGCCCCTTTCTTTATTATGACTCATTCATTTTAAACTGATGTTTTTACACTACATGTCCTGAGTCCACAATCTGCACGTGATTTTCTCTCATTGTAAGCAGGAAACAGTTCGTGTGGCTGCTTGAAACACTGGAAGTATTTGACCAGCTGTGATACCTATAAAGGAAAAGGTAGTGGTAATACTGGTTGGCACCAGTGATTCCATTCACTGAAAGACGTATAATTCTAAATTTTTTTCATTTCCTTGCTCACTATGTGTGGTTACACAGAAATTATTAAATGGAATCCAGCTGAGAGATTTTAGTAATAACATTTCATTGCAAATGGGAGGTGTCTCTGCCCATGGCAGGGAGTTGGAGTAGATGATCTTTAATTCCCTTCCAACCTAAACCATTCTGTGATTCTATGACTTGAATTTTGCTATCTCCAAAATTATTAGTACCCATCTGTAGCAAGTTTGACTTTATTAGGAAGAAATTCAAAACCACATTGGAAGTATCTAGTGTGGTTCTAACAATTCTAAAACCCCTTTCTACCTCTTTAAGTGGAAGTCTACAAATCATGCAAACCTTTACTCAGTATTTAACTCAAATAGTGAAATTTAGTACATTAAATACAAGATTCCAGATTTTTAGTTCACTGAATGTAGATCTGTTCATAAAAATCCATTAGCTGATGGATTTCTACCTCACTGAAATCAGATATGCCACTCAAATCTAACACACTGTTCTGCACACTAAAAACAGAGTTAAGATATATAAAGAGCCTTTTATTAAACAGGTTTCCAGTTCACTAAAAACAGATTTACAACTCACGAGCAACCCATTATCTAATATGTTTTTAGCTCACTGAGAACAGATTTACTACCCAGAAACAACCCATTATCTAACATGTTTCCAGTTCACTGAAAACAGATTTACAACCCATACGCAAGCTATTATCTAACATAGTTCCGACTCACTGAATATTGATTTAGAATTCATAAACAACCCATTATCTGACAAATTTTCACCTCGCTGAACAGATTTGCAACTCATAAACAACCCATTAGCTAACACATTTTCGGCTCAGGGAAAGTAGATTTACAGCATATAAACAACTTTATCTAACTTGTTCCAGTTCACTAAAATCATATTCAAAACTCACCAAGAACCCAGTACCTGATAGGGTTCCGTCTTCAGCAAGAAGAAACAATAACAGCGACAAAAAACCCGGTGTAGCATGTGTGTAGTATGCCATACCCTAACACCTTTAATTTTCTGTGCAGCAGAGGTTTTTGGAGTGGATTCTTCCTCATCTCTAAACTTTGCTGATGAAATGAGCATTATTTCCTTTAGTCTTTCAGTGGGGACTTTTTCTTTCATGTTCTTATAAGAAACTTTATTGGGTTAAGCTTTTCTTGACTGCCAGTTTTTAAAAATTTACCTTGTTCTTTGCTGTGATTTCCCACAAATATTCTTTTGGGTGATGAATTCTCTAACCATTGAGTATTACTCCTTATTTTATTACTATAGCATCATGTACAGTTTAATTCAGCCTGTAGACATTTTAAAAATTAACTTATCAGTGCAGCAATACCTATTTTAAATATGTTGTGACATGACTACCATCTATATCATGTGTTTTGATCTCAGCCTTTCCTTCTAAAAGGAAGTGCAAGACGTTATGATTTACTGTCTTTCTTGCTTTAAGGAGGCACTTTGAGAAGTATCAGACTGTGAAGGAATGAGTAGGTACTTACTGTGTGGTCCCACACACTGACAAATTTCCTCTTAACTTTCCACTTTTTAGATGTAAAGATCAGCCTTGCAGTTCACATTGCACAGGTTAGACTGCTGCTGCTTCTAACCCATAACCTAAGCTAGCTATGCCTATGTGTACTTTTGCTGTTGTAACAGCTTCATGGACCTGTTAAGGCAAAATGTATCTATTCTCATGTTCCAGGAATTTCCAGTCCTTTTTGTCTTGGGAACCATGAGAATCTATAGGGATTTTATTTGGAATATTTATGCCTATACACACTTTCTCTGTTCTCCCAGTGTGTGGAAGTGTGCAGGATTTACTCTGCAAAGACGAGTATATTTTTTTCATTTCACATAACCTTTCTGGAGCTTTTGTTTGTGAAAAGCAGTGCCTCGACAAATCAAATCCTAACTCAGTTGGTAGTCTAGAGGAGATCCAGGGAGATTGCATACACTTTGGAAGTTGTTTTTCATTTAATTTTAGCCCCCAGTGGACTGGAGGCTTTGTGGAAAATTGAAAGAAGGCATTAAATACAAAAGGAGGCAACCGATTTACATGAAAGTGATGCTGAGTTTAAAGCAATATATTGCGGTGGCTATCTCCAAATAATGTTTATAATTTTGGTTCAGCTCTACCAGAAGTAGACCTTCTAACGGTGGCCAATTTGTTGCTGGAAACCTAGGTTAAAATGAGGTAATGGAGCAGCAAACAGAAAGAAAGAAAGAACAGGAATCAGCAGCAGTTAAAGGCACAGAGTTATGCAAGGAGGTATTTGGAAATCTGACTTGTTCAAAATTGCTACAGGTTTTCAGTTTCCTTTGGAACAATAGGGTCTATTCTCCTCTCAGAGGGGAGCCCAGGGGATAATTTTATTTTCTTTGTCGTTAATCACTTCAAGACAGAACAATACTATTTTATCAAACTTCTGAACCATTTTTTATAGTTTTCAAACTGGAAGACATTTCAAAGGCACTCTGATAAACGTATATTGAGTACTTTACATGTTTATGGATCAAAATAGAC